CCTTGGACAGAACGATAGATTCTAGTCACGTAAAACACGTGCCGTCGTCCAAGGAACAAGTTTTTAACCTTGCCTTTTTTTGTTTCTAATATATACTTCTTGTTGAATTGTACAACGAAGAATTCTCGATGCTCGTATATTCGAAGGTATAAAGTACAAATACCGTACATTATGTATGAAAAAAAAAGTGACGAGTGACACTTTTCTTCGTTCATGAGTCATATTTTATCACGTAAAGAATAAAAGTTCGTTTGTTTCGCTTGCAAACTAAAAAATTTTTCTCTACGATTCACGAAAGATAATTTTTCCTCTAAGCTCACGAAGTCAACTCGTGCGCACAATCGTACTTACAATTGAGTCGTCATTTTTTATATTAAAAATGTAGCCGAGGATTCCCACACACCACTGTCTTTCGGACGATGCAACTGCTTATTTTTCGTGTCGTTTTTTTTCTATTGTTATCAAGCACGTGGACTTTTCTTGCATAGAAAAAGCGAAGGATGACCCTCGATCAAAAGTGGCGTAATAATTCGCGCGCGGTTTACATCGTCGTGATTGCGTTGTGTGTACATTGGTGTAAAACAGCATGTTATAGAGCACCTTCCTGAACGAATTCTTTTTTATTTTTTTTTATATTGTCGTTAAATAATTGTCAGCCATAGCTACAATGACAGGGAAAGCACGATTTTTTCCTCGCGAACTGTGACACTTGAACACTGTGAGTGCATAGCAAATTAGCTCGTAAGATTTGCTCGATAATCTCATCATCAGTGTAAGATAAGCAACTGCTTGTTTTATCAACAAGTGGCCACATAGTATCACATTGCCGCCGAGAAATGCAGCCTATTTTTACATGCACGCTTTTTACTCGGTTACAGCATGCACAGAAGCAGACTGGGCAACTCGTAAATTTGCGCGCAGTCAAAGGCACGCGAGATACACGTGTTTCTTTGTATATGTGTAGCTCGAGGAGTTCTTCAGTGCGTTTTAGACATAAACTTTCTCACACATGTGCGCGTAGGTACAATAGCCAACTTGTTTTTTGTCTCTCAGAACGCATGCTCATTTGCGTCGTTGCGAGGAAAGCTCGTTTTTTTTGTCTCCATTAATTCTTAGCTGCATGCGCAAAACGAGTTTTTGCGGATAGGGAATAGCAATGGTTCAGTTGGACTCGAGTGCCAAAAGGACGAGTGCGCGCGTTATTACGTCGATATAATAATTTTGTCGCTTGCGCGATGTGAGAAAACATAGGCTTATGCAGCATGTAACTACGCGTAAAAAGCAAAGAAGGAAAAAACGAAGATGCAGCACGGCGAAAATGTCACCGCGTCAATTACAGAAGCATGTCTCTCCCCGGGGCCGCAAGAATGCCATCCCTGCGAGTGGTATTATAAGTGCAGGGGGGGGG